GCGCTGCCCTCCGACGGCGCCGTGCGGAGGAGGGCGGCCTGCCGCCAGGGGCGGCCCGCGGCGGCGGCCGTCGCCCTCCCAGAGAGCATCGACGGCTCCCCCCCCTCCCTGCCCTCGCCGCCGCCATCGCCGACGACGGCGACGACGACGACGTCAACGACGACAACGACGACGACGACGACGACGGCGGCGGCGGCGGCGGCGGCGGCGACGGCGACGGCGACGGCGACGGCGACGGGTGCGGCGGCGGCGGCGAGAGCGGCGGGAGCGGCGGGAGCGGCGGCGGCAGCGAGCAGCACCAGTAGCAGCAAGGGCCGACCGCGAGGGTGCATGCCACCTCTGGGCGGCTCGCACCGGCTCTCCCCCGGGTCTCTTCCGCTTCTCTTTGTTGGGCAGAGCTTAGGGCAGGCCATCTCCCTCCCACCTTCCTCCTCCTCCTCCTCCTCCTCCTCCTCCTCCTCCTCCTCCTCCTCCTCCTCCTCCTCCTCCTCCTCCTCGGCGTGATTTGTTGCTCCCCTCGCCCTCCCCAATCCTCCGAGGACGAGGTGAAGGAGAGGAGGGGTGGGGGGGAGGGGGAGGAGGAAGAAGGAGGAGGAGGAGGAGGAGGAAAAGGAGGAGGAGGAGGAGGAGGAGGAGGAGGAGGAGGGGAAGGAGGAGGAGGAGGTCAAGCGCACCACGCTCTGCGTGGACACAATGATGAGAGTGGGTGGCGCAACGCGCGTGCCAAGCACGGACCGTCTCCTCTCCGCGCGCTGCTTGCGGGAGCCGCTGCCTCGGGGAGTCGTGCACGACGAGCGCAAGTGCACGCTGCCTGAGTCCTATCCTCCTTTTCCTCCTGCTTCTCCTCCTCCTCCTCTTCCTCGTCATCATCATCATCATCATCATCATCATCATCATCATCATCATCATCATCATCATCATCCATCATCCTCATCATCTCATCATCATCATCATGAGCATCATCCTCATCCTCAGCCTCATCCTCAGCCTCATCCTCATCCTCATCCTCCTCCTCCTCCTCCTCCTCCTCCTCCTCCTCCTCCTCCCTCCTCCTCCTCCTCCTCCTCCTCCTCCTCCTCCTCCCTCCTTCCTCCTCCTTCCGCCTCCTCCTCCTCCTCCTCAACTCCTTCTACTCCTCCCCTCCTCCTCCCCGCTCCTCCTCCTCCTCCTACCTCCTCCTCCTCCTCCTCCTTTCTCCTCCTCCTCATCCTCCTCCTCCTCCCTCCTCCTCCTCGTCCTCTTCGTTTTCCTTATCCTCCTACTCCGCCTCCGCCTCCTCCTCCTCCTCCTCCTCCTCCTCCTCCTCCTCCCCCTCCTTCCTCCTCCTAAAAAGTTCAGAAACTCCTGCTCCGTCTTCTCCTCTCCCTTCTCCTCCTCCTCTCTTCCTCCTCCTCCTCCCCCTCCTCCTCCTCCTCCTCCTCCTCCTCCTCCTCCTCCTCCTCCTCCTCCTCCTTTTCCTCCCCCTGACATTCCCGCCGACCCGCCGTTGTTGAAGGAGTTCCCATATTGAAATTGACCTGGATTCCGTCTGTGGAAGTTGTAGGTTTGGGGATGCGAGCTCGCGAGGAAGTATTGAGCGAAACGCCCAGCTGGCCTACGGACAAGTCTGGTGGCGCGGAAGGGAGGAGTTGCTTATGAGGAAGATGGATGGACGAGCAGGAGGGGAGGGAGGAGGAGGAGCAGGAGGAGGAGGAGCAGGAGGAGGAGGAGGAGGAGGAAGAGGAGGAGGAGGAGGAGGAGGAGAAAATTAGGAGGAGGACAAAACGAGGAGCAGGAGAGGAGGAAGGGAAAAGGTAGGGGAGGAGGAGGAGGAGGTAGGAGGAGGAGGAGGGAGGGAGGAGGAGGAGAGGAGAAGCAAGAAGAAGACGAAGAAGAAGGAAGAGTAGAGGCGAGGAGGAGGAGGGGAGGAAGAGGAAGGGAGGGGAAGGAGGAAGAGGAAGGAGGTCAGAGGAGGAGCGAAATGAGTTTCAGGAGGATGGGGAGGAGGGGGCGAAGGGCGGGAGGGGGCGCCCTGCGGCAGGCTCGTCGTTATCCAGTGACGACGAGACGTACGTCGCCGAGCACGAGGCCGCGGTCGCGGCGGGCGTGCAGGCCGCCGGCCCGCCAGATGCTCCCAAAGATGGCGCTGGCTTGGGCAGTACCCTGGCGCGCGCGGAGGACCATGAGGGAGGAGGAGGAAGGAGGAGAGGAGGAGGAGGAGAGGTGAGGAGGAGGTGGTGAGGAGGAAAGGGGGGAGAAGGAGGAGGGATGAGGCTGAGGCGAGGCGGATGCGGAGGCGGAGCGGAGGCGGAGGCGGAGGCGGGGTAAGAGGGGGGGGAGGCTGCGGGGGGTCGGGGGGGGCGCAGCTGAGGCGGGGATGAGTAGGTAGGAGGCGGGGGTCATGAGGGATGGGATTAGTGATGAGGCAAGTAGGCTTAATTGTAGGTGGAGGTATGTATCGGATGCTGATGATGTGTAGGATGAGGAGTTAGGTAGAGGATTGCGCTGTGGATGACGGTTGAGGTGAGGGTGGGGGGTTTGGCCTGGGGTATGTATTAGGAGAGGAAGATGTAGTAGGTGATTATTATGATATTATGAGGGATAGGAGGAGGAGATTGTAGGATGATTGGAGGATGATGCGGGAGGAGGATGAGTAGGAGGATATTTAGTGGGAGGTTGATGAGTATTAAGGAGAGGAGGGAGGGTAGGAGGTAGTAAAGGAGGAGAGTAGGATGTATGCTGATACGTAGGGGGATTGGGTGTTTAGTTGAGGAGGAGGAGTGTCGGGCGGGATGATAAGGAGTAGTAGTAAGTGATTAGGCGTAGGAGGGGAGGATGAGGGGGAGGAGGGAGGAGGAGGAGGTAGTAGGAGGATGAGGGAGGAGAAGAAGTATAATCGACCTACACCTATGATTTTTACTTTATGGTATTATTCTTAATATTATTCATAAGAGAGTACTTATTCAGCTGATTAATCTCATAATGATTTCTTACTTCTGCTTATTATTATTATCCTTTTTTATATCTTCATTTCTTATTTATCTTATCTTGTCTTATTCTTCTCCTTGAGGAGGAGGAGGACCAATTGTTGGAAAAAAGAACCTTCCTCGAAGCTCCCTCTTCGTAGGCCGCTTGCAAGAGTTGATTTTCATTGAAGTGCCCCGTTGGAAGACAACCGTATGACAGTCCGTAACTGCGCCAGAACATCATTCCAGGAATTTCAACGCCGCGAATCACAGCTACTGCTGGTTGTTGACGGTCCTGAATCGCATCAGAACACCATTCGTGACATTTCAACACCGCGAATCAATGTGATCGTTGCGCCGTGCCATTCCAGCATCGTGGCAAAACACTATTCCTGGGGACGTTTACCATGATAATCCTTGAATTTGGTACGCACTCTTCAGACGATTGTGCGCGGCGCTAAGGCGAGAGCCGCATTTTTGAAAACGGTCCGCCCACCATCCGTGAAACTTTCGCAACTTTTGAATACGAATGTGCGAGGCGCTAAGGCGAAAGCCGCATTTTGAACACGACCCGCCAACCATCCGTACAACTTCCTGCAATGTGTTAAGACGAATGTGCGCGGCGCTCAGGCGAGAACCACATTTTGAAGACCACCCGCCCTCTATCCGTGAAGCTGTTGCAAAATTTAATCCGCATGATCGTAACTGGTGGGGAAGTCTCCGCCGAAACGCCCCGCCCGCCTTTTCGACCGGCCTCGGGGGGCGACAGGGAGGAGGAGGAGCAGGAGCAGGAGCAGGGGGAGGGGGAGGGGGACGAAGAGGGCGGAGGCGGAGGCGCATGAGCAGCAGCAGGACAGGGTGAGGAGTAGGAGGAGGGGGGCTGAGGAGGGAGGTGGCTGACGAGGAGGAGGAGGAGGACGACGACGACGACGAGGACAGGAAGAGATGGAGGGAGGAATGGATGGAGGGAACGGAGTGAATGAAGGAGAGACAGGGAAAGTGAAACGGAGAAATATATCAATCTCATGAACTACATCTTGCTTTAATTAATGTGACACCGTAGTATATGATATCAAATGTTGCCTCCCCCCAAGGGCCCCGCCCACCTCGGGGACATCTGCGGCCCGCCCCAGTACCGCCCAGGACGGCTCAGGATGCCTCCGAGACAGGCAGAAGTGCTGGTCGGCTGGGAGGTCCGCCGCGCTCGCCTGGGCCCCTGGAGGCCTGGAGCGCCGCGTGAGCTCCTATGCGCTGGCGGCGTCGAGCTTGTCGTTGCTCTTCGTCGGCGTGTGCTGCTGAGCCTGTCCTTAGCTTTCAGCGGAAGAGGTTCGCTCTCGCCCTGCAGATCAAAAAAGTGCTGCTGAGCCTGGCCCTGGATCGTCTTCTGGGATCGGGCCAGCCAGTGGCCACCCACTTGCAACCTGGCGCAGGTGGCTTTGAGGGCACGGGATCGCTTGTCGGCGGTGTCGGGCGCGCCTTGGAGGCGTGGACCAGCGTGGCATTCGTCAGCCCACGCGTCGTCGTTGTCGAGGTCGCCCATGTCCTCGTCGCCGACTTCCTCGAACTGACCGTGGATGTCCTCGGATTTGCCGCCCGCGGGGTCGGCGCCCGCCTGGTGGATTCCTGGTTTCGGCCCAGTGTTGGCGCGTCTGCCGCAGGAGGCCGCGCGCGACCTTGGCGCCCAGAGTTTTCCTGGCGCAGCTGGAGGTAGGGCGTCGAGCGGCGCTCGCTCTGCGGAGGGCGTACGGGCTGGTTGGTGGATTTCGTCCTGGGCGACGACGGTGGCGATCGAGGGATTCGGCCGCCGCGGTGGCCCACGGGGCGTTGTGCCCTGCTTCCTTGACCGCGGCGTTCGGCGGGATCGTGGTAGTGCGGCGCCGTGGGCTTGTCAGCCAGCGTTTCAGACCACGGGCTCCAAGTTCAGCACCTTCAGGACGTTGGCCACTCGCGTCTTGGTGGCACGCTGGGGCTCGAGCCCTGTATCGCGGTGGCGATGGGCGGTCAGGGTGGCTTCGGTCCCGCGGAGTTCGAATGTGACGGACTTGCCGGCCGCGCGTTCGCGCAGGGCGTGGGCCCAGACGCAGTGGTCGCCCTCGACAGCGCCGCCGACGCCGTGGCGGACGGCCAGGGTGGCCTCCAGCGCGACCTCGGCGCTTCACCAGACGATCATGTAGGGCGCCGTCGTGGACTCGCTGAGACGCGAGGTGCCGCGGTGGCCAGGGCGGTAGGCGCGTCCTTGCCACTCCTTTTCCCGAGGTGGCCGGGGCGGCAGGCGCCGCGCCCACTGGCAAGGCCAGTAACGCTCTCACGGGCTCGATAAGAACACTTGTGATGCTGGCTTTGGCGCCCAAGCGGTGCGTCCACGCTCGCTGCAGCTGGGCCTCGCATTCTTAGACCAGTTGGTTATTTATTCACTAGGCGTCCACAAGGAGGAGGTCCGCCCTCGCTTCACCGATGGCGAGCGAAAACGGTGCCTGCGACTGCCAACCAAACCGGTGGGCCGTCGCTAGGAATGCGCCTGCAGGCCTTCGGTCTGTCGTCCACGGCCGAGGCGCCGGTGAGATTCGGATGCTCCAGCGCTTCCAACCTGCCGTTGATCGGATCGCGAACGCTGCATCGAGATTGGCCTCCTTCCAAGCGATGGCCTATTCGACTATCCTGCTGGCATTGGCCACGCGCGCTGGGTCGACTCTCTCCGCAAAGGAGGACGAGTTGCGATGAGGAGTAGGGAGAGGATGAGGAGGAGGAGGAGGAGGAGGAGGAGGAGGAGGAGGAGGAGGAGAAGGAGAAAGAAAAGGGGGAGGAGGAGGAGGATGGGGGATGAGGAGGAGGAGGAGGAGGCGGATGAGGAGAAGGTGAGCTACGTGCGAGGAGGAGGAGGAGGAAAAGGAGGAGGAGGAGGAGGAGGAGGAGGAGGAGGACCTCCCCGAGGACACCGCGCCGTCGCAGGCGCACCTGGGCGACACGCGCGGCCAGGGCCGGACAGCCCGCAGCAGCGGCGCTCCCGACGAAGACGGAGCGCTGACAAAAAAAGCATCGCACGCCCCGAGCTCCCCGAGGGATGCTGTCGACGCGGCGCTCGATCACCATCACATGCGGAGCTGCTGTGCTCGGCGCTGCGGAGCAGCGCGCCGACCGGGGCCCGATCGGGGGGGGTCCGTGGGGGAGCGAGCACTGCCGCCTCGCGCTCCCCGCCCGCGCTCACCCCCAGCGAAGACCATCGGCGTCGAAGGCTTCCGCGAGAGGCGTCCGCCATGCCGCCGACGCCCGGAAGAGAGCGTGTGCGGCTTCAGGTGTCGTCGGTGTCGGTTTCTGCGTCCCGTCGTGCTGCTTGCGTGCAGTTGCTGCTGACTCGTCCTCCTCTTCCTCCGCTGCTGCTGGGGAGCTCCTGGGGGGCCTCTCGGAGGCCGCGTGGGTGGCCTCTTGGAAGCCTGTTGAAGGTACGTCGAGGCTTTTGGGGTCCCTCTGGGGGCTCCCTGGGGTCTTGGGACTCTCTTCGTGGATGAGGGCTCCCGAGTCCCCCGCTGGTTTCCCGTATTGGGCCCCTCTTGGGCCTTTCTTGTGGCACCTCTCTTGAAGGCATGTTAGGCCGTCTTGTGGCCCTCCTTGGCCGTCTGCGGACCCTCTCGGGGG